AAAGTACTTCCACAAAAATCGCCAGCCCTTTCGGTAACCTCTCCTAACTGGCCGCCTGCTAATAATTTTCTAGTCGTTAAATCGACAGTGCCACCACCGCAATCCACTATCATGAAGATTGCTTGTGAACATTAAAAAAGAAGTTAATAATATCATTTATGTATACACAAAAAAGTGTCTAAAGTTATACTTACTATCATCAGATGTAAGAGATTGTTCTTTTAGACAATGTTCCATGCAATAAATGGCAGCTGCTTCCGCTAAAAAAAGAAGAGAGAAAGATATGTGTGTATATATGTAAGTATATATATAATATAATTTATCAATGTAACATATCATCGAAGTAAAATAATGAAGAGATAAAAATTATCCGTACGTTCTGTAGTAAACTGGACGTTTTCCGTATCTTTGCTTTTAATTAAGTCAGCATCATACATGCATTCCTTCATGATCCTCTTCGTCTTTTCAGAGAAACCAGCCGGAACAGTAAGAACAAGTAAAACTTGGTTTAAAAAATCTACAAATGGCCATGCCCTTTCAACCGTCTCTTTCATTAACTTCAGTATTAAAAGATCGAATTAAATTATTTTATATTTATTTTATATAAGAAATATAAGCACTGAAATTAATAAAATATACAAATTTTATTACATTGCCTATTTCCCGAAAATAGTCAGTAATGATTCTCCTTTCAGGAATTGGAAGCGATGGTTTAAGCTTTTCAGGTAAATCGCTCAAACATAGCTTAAAATGCTCGATAGGTTTAGTGTCAACATTATCATCCTTTTTCTTTTTAGGTCTCTGAGCTAGCGCAGGATATCCCCATAATTTAACCGAATCATAATTATCATCGGTATATTTAATAACTGTCGGAGTTTTTAGATGGCCCTTGAATCCAGGCCAAGTTTCGTTGGTAATGATTGCTTTAGTTTTTGTATGGCAATATGCAAAACCCTAACGGATGATATCTGTTAGATCTAGATGATTAGAAAACACCAAAAATAATATCCTTAATAACAATATTACCGAGTATGTAGTTCCAAAGTCTACAAAAGTTTTACGTGTATATTTTAGCAAAAATCAAATCAAATTATTCCTTGAGCATACATGAAATAGTTACCAAATCCTATCACAACACGAATATCATCATTTGAGGAAGAGATATAGTTATCATCTAATAAGCTAGATTCCATCTTTAAACTATTCTTTTGCTTTATACTAATTAAAGTTGATAAAATTGTATCCTTCCATTTACTCCTTTTTATCGACTTCTAAATTATTTAAAAGTGTCACATTTTAATAACATCACAGATTAAAGTGATGCGTGATAAGTGATGAGTGATATATCGTCCCGACAAGGTGTCAAGAATTTACTAATTTCCTCCAATTTCTATTGGTTGGCATGATTCGGATTGATTTACATGTCACTTTCTTTTAAAACGTTTCAAAATGTGATGTCTTAGTTAAGGTTAGTGATAGAGATAATGGATTTTTTTTTTATTAGTAAATGTAATTAGTAAATACATGGATGTACTTACGTACATGCGTACATATATGGTAAAATTAATAAATCAATAATCAATAGAATCAATAGACAAAAAGATTATTTCCATATATACACACAATGACAGTGATTAACGTTAAAACAAAACTTTTTCGTTTAGCTCTTTAGGGTCTGTCTAACGCGAAGAACCACTCCTGCAAGGTTGCGTACGTACGTACATAGATATACATGCCACGCCCAAACTATAAATCTCCAATTCTCCAAATTCCAATAGTTTTACCAGCAAGTATACACATAAAATGCTCATGTGACTACGCAGTTTATTATATAAATTTACAAATCTTGCTAGCCATAAGTACACAAATTTTAAAAATCTAGGTTAGTCACTTACGGTTTTTGATCATTTAAAATAACAGCGCATAACGATAAGGTATTCAATTAGTATTCAATAAAGTTATATATGGTAGTACGGATTCGGCTAACTTAGACTCATAAAATTTGATAATGGTTAGGGTTAGGGAAAATATCAGAAAAAACAGGTTATAGGAAAAATGACAAGAATTTTTTTAGATCAGATTTAGTATAGTCCACACTTACTTTAAATCAATTCAATTTTATTAACGTTAATGGTGTGGGGCTATACTAAATTTTTTTCTTTTACAAGTCATATGCTTATCATGGTTTTCACACGTTCATCCTAATTTGTGTTTCCGCACCATACTATACTATATCGGATATACTCCAAGCGTACGCCCATCCTTCCCGTACGTACGTACGTACGTACGTACATAGTTTTGTGGGAGGTGATGTGGATATTCACTGATAACCCGATGGTAGCACACTTCTGTTTCTGTTGTAAATGGTATAAAAGTTTTAATCCGAGAAAAAAGGTAAACTGGATAACCGAACCGAATAGGTACAACCGGTTATAATAGATTCAATTTTCCGCCAATCAGATCAATCTTTTTAATATGTAACTAACGGATCAGCGACGCTTTCTATCTCTGGGACACTCCAGAATACTATTATGATTAATGCATAAAGTTAGGAAATACGCTAGTTGTTATTAAATAATCGATGGCTCAATATATTGTCATTATTATTCTTAATATCTACCAGTAAATGATTAAGTAAATAAGTTTATATGTTAAAAAAATAGGATTTATGGATCACATATTTTGACGTAAATACGCCACTTATTTTGTCTGAAATCGGATGCCAAACCATTAATTTTGAAACACCCTAGTAAAAAAATTTTTTATTATAATTTTATTATAATCCATGTTTTCGCGTAATAATGCCCGTGAACGCTCATGCTCGTCCCGGAATAACATGCATGCCTTATCCCAAAATAGCATACATGCGCGTACATGCACGTACTCAAGATAACGCACATATACTCGAAATGACGCGCAGATATTACGCGAAAATATAGTAAAACATAAAATTATATCAATATTTATTATACCAAAAGATTTATAATAGGTATATCTGGCACTAATTACATATTATAAATTATTACAGCCTATATAAAACTGCTTAATTATAATAATATATAATAAATACAATTAACTATCAATAAGACGGAAGTTTAAAAGTTTTATTATATAGCATATTTATTGTGGTAGATTGAAATTTTTCATAGTATAAAATAAACAATCTACAAAATTTTGGGATGCATTTTTTTTGGTCTCTTTTTGTTAGGGTTAGGGTCAGGGTCAACTTTAGAAGTAGAACTTATAATAAGTGGGGTTTAGAAGGTTAAATAGAAATCCCAATATCCGATTTTATTATGATCCGTGACAATTACTAATGAAACAATATCCCATTCATTAAGTAATAACTTCTATAGATTATGTTGGCTAATGCTTGCCAAGCTCTGATCTGGAATTTTGGAGACTACTCTGTAAATAAATGATACAGTAGTTTAAGCCTCGACTACTCAAAATTGTTTTCAAAATGTGCCTTTGATTTTATACTCTTAAAGATTTTTTAGTAATTCTTTTGTACAATAGACATTGATTTTTTATATTACACATTCGAAAAAAATAAACTGTATAATTCAACTATAAATGTCTATAAATTTACATTGACTAAACATTATTTTGATAAGATTGATATAACACTATTGCAACTTTTGATATAATGTATACTTAGTTGTAAAACACCATAGGCGTGGTTTAGTAAAAATATTGCTATAAATATATATATTCTAAAATATTTGATTAGTTACTACATATTGTAAGTTTATAAATCACGAATAATAATGTAATATTTACAAGAGAATTGCTTCAGCTTATATATCCAATTCAAATATTGTTTTAAGTTTTTGCCTAGTAGATTTATTCTCGGCGGTAACTAAAAGCTCAACCTTGCCAAATTCTAAAGTGAGTAGAAAAGTCTTATCATTATAATCCCCCTCATTGGGTAAATCAATTAAAAACTTTCCAAGCAATTCAACTCCATCTTCATCACAATATTTAGCATCGATTTTCGATGTCACATAAATATCAAATGCCATTTGTTTTTGGTCCAATGATGCTGGGATAAAAGTTCTTGTAACTTTTTCGTTTATGGAGACCTGAGCGCCCCTAGTAGCTAGAGTTTGGAATGTTTGTATCAATCCTCCTGAGAGTACGCGGTCTTCTGGGTCGGTATATTCCCATTTGCGAACAATGGGTGTTCCTTTAGAATAAATAGCATAATTATCATGAGAAATTATTCAAAAAACACGTATTAGGCATATTTTTATATATCTGATTACCATAAGTCCACTTTAGTACTCTATCTAATATAATGTTCTCTTTGAGTCCAAATTTAACAGCACCCTTTAAAATTGCAGTTATTGGTTGAGTCGGAACAGAAATAATATTTACTTTTTGTTTGAATTCTTCTTTAATTCTCATCTGTAAATATTCCGACTCACTAAAACCTCCAACTAAAAACATAGCAGAACAATTTCTACAAGCACTTAATTGACCATATATTAAAGTGATTATTTTAGTTATGACTGGATCAAACATTTCTTTTACATCTTCAAACTTCGGTTCAATTAACCATTGCTCTTTTTCCATGAATTCTTTTTCTTTCCCAGTTACGATCGTTTTTATGTTCGGAAAGAATTTCTCTAAGTCAAATTCAACGGATTCAAATATACCAGGATTTCCAGTGAAAGGTAATTTAACCTGATGACTAAATTCTTAGTACATAATAAAATATATAATACATTAAATTAGTGAAACCTAACAGAACTGTATTTCTATAATATCGATATAGATCAAAAACATATCAATATCATTTGTACCTTGGATCAGATTTTGAAGATAAGAGTAATGATTTTCGGTTAAATATTCTAAACTAGATTTACCAATCTTTTGGCCCAGAAATTCAAGAAATTCGCGATCGATAAAAGTACTACCACAGAAATCACCAGAACGTTCGGTTAATTCGCTCAAATTTTTGCTTACTAAAAGTTCTCGAACAGTCAAGTCGACAGTACCACCTCCACAATCTACTATCATATACGTAGAACCAACATCTAGTTCATGCTCCCTTAGTGTATCAATGCAATGCACTGCCGCTGCCTCGGCTAAAGAAACAACGTATGTATTATTTATTACTATATATAAAATTATATAAACGTTGAAATACCGAATGACCTACGCTCTGTCATAAATATTAAATTCTGGCTATTCATATCATCTATCAAATTTGCATTAACAGCACATTCTCTCATCACAGAAATATCACGGTCGTCGAATTCCGCAGGGATCTAATACGCATGTACGTACATATTATTACAATATCAGTATAATAAATACATATATACAAAATTATACATACAGTGAGGACG